TGACAATTAACATCATATTATAATACACTTGCAATTAACGGCATGTTATAATACACTTGCTGTTAACATCATATTATAATACACTTCAATAAACGTCATGTTATAATACACTTGCTGTTAACATCATATTATAATACACTTTCAATTAACGTCATGTTATAATACTCTTGCTATTAACGTCATATTATAAGACACTATTAATTAACATCATATCATAATACACTATTAATCAACATCATATTAAAATACACTATAAATAAACATCAAATTATAATCCACTTGCTATTAACGTCATATTTTAATACATTATTAATAAACATCATATTATAATACATTATTAATAAACATCAGATTATAATACACTATTAATAAACATCAAATTATAATACACTTGCTATTGACATCGTATTATAATACACTTGCTATTAACGTAAATCATAATACACTATTTATTAACGTCATATTATAATGCACTATTAATTAACATCATATTATAATGCACTATTAATTAACATCATATTATAATGCACTATTAATTAACATCATATTATAATGCACTATTAATTAACATCATATTATAATGCACTATTAATTAACATCATATTATAATGCACTATTAATTAACATCATATTATAATGCACTATTAATTAACATCATATTATAATACAATTACAATTAACGTCATGTTATAATACACTTGCCATTAACGTAAATCATAATACACTATTTATTAACGTCATATTATAATGCACTATTAATTAACATCATATTATAATACAATTACAATTAACGTCATGTTATAATACACTTGCTATTAACGTCATATTATAATACACTATTAATTAACATCATATCATAATACACTATTAATCAACATCATATTATAATACACTATAAATAAACATCAAATTATAATACACTTGCTATTAACGTCATATTATAATACATTATTAATAAACATCATATTATAATACACTATTAATAAACATCATATTATAATACACTATTAATAAACATCAAATTATAATACACTTGCTATTAACATCATATTATAATACACTTGCTATTAACATCATATTATAATACACTATTAATAAACATCATATAATAATACACTTGCTATTAACATCATATTATAATACACTATTAATTAACATCATATTATAATACACTTGCTATTAACATCATATTATAATACACTATTAATAAACATCATATTATAATACACTTGCTATTAACATCATATTATAATACACTATTAATTAACATCATATTATAATACACTTGCTATTAACGTCATATTATAATACACTATTAATAAACATCATATTATAATACACTATTAATAAACATCATATTATAATACACTTGCTATTAACATCATATTATAATACACTTGCTATTAACATCATATTATAATACACTATTAATAAACATCATATTATAATACACTTGCTATTAACGTCATATTATAATACACTATTAATTAACATCATATTATAATACACTTGCTATTAACGTCATATTATAATACATTATTAATAAACATCATATTATAATACACTATTAATAAACATCATATTATAATACACTATTAATAAACATCAAATTATAATACACTTGCTATTAACATCATATTATAATACACTTGCTATTAACATCATATTATAATACACTATTAATAAACATCATATAATAATACACTCTTTATTAACATCATATTATAATACACTATTAATTAACATCATATTATAATACACTTGCTATTAACATCATATTATAATACACTATTAATAAACATCATATTATAATACACTTGCTATTAACATCATATTATAATACACTATTAATTAGCATCATATTATAATACACTTGCTATTAACGTCATATTATAATACACTATTAATAAACATCATATTATAATACACTATTAATAAACATCATATTATAATACACTTGCTATTAACATCATATTATAATACACTTTAAATCAACATCATGTTTCAATATCCATTTAATAAACACATATAATTAACATTGTATAAAAAAACACATATAATTAACATTCTTTAAAAAACACATATAATTAACATTGTATAAAAAACACATTTAATTAACATTGTATAAAAAACACATATAATTAACATTCTTTAAAAAACACATATAATTAACATTGTATAAAAAAACACCTATAATTAACATCATATTATTTAACGCATATATTTAACATCATTTTATCATACTCATATAAGGAAATTCATATTAGTATACACATATGTTATACAAACTAGTATACCACTTTTATTTAACACCGTATTATAATACACATACATGTATATTTATCATCATATCATAATACACATACAGTTAACATCATATTTAATACATATAAAATTAACATCATAACAACTGTCATACACTAAGATTTTAAGATTTTAAAAAATTAATGTTTTTTTATAGCATATATTTATAAATTAGTATACATAATAAATTACTTGTTTAGATAAACTGGATGGAGTGATAATTATTAATTACATTGATATCTGAACGTTTATTATTGTGTTTTCAGTTACATAGGCCTTACCGTCACGTTAAGCTGACAAGGCAAAGTATGAACATCACACTATCTTCTAGTTTCTATGTTTCGTTGTCATAAGATTAACTTATAAGTACGATCTGACACAGCAGTCAAATAATTTCTGAAAACTCTTATTTAAACTACGCTATAGTTTTCCCTGAGTGTATTTATAACTTTTATGTCGGTACGTAAACTGTAAAATATAGCATCAGGTGCGCAGATCTTTCAGAACAGGTAAAGAGTACAAATCTCACTGCCTAGAGTAGCGTGCCGAGTTTAGACTTCAGGTGGATTTGGGAGATCGCCTATCTTCCTATAGGTAGGGAGGGCCAGGGCCCTCCGACCAAAAAGAATGTCCTAAATATATTTGTGCACAGTGAGGCATTTTTTTGTATCAGTTCACCTTATTTATTACACTTTTGCTGATCACGGAAGGAGTTGAGATTCTTATTATAAAAATCTGTCTAAACACTTTGACCCGGACAAAAATAAAAACTCCTCGAGACAACTGGTGAACACTATCCAGGAACACACATTATTTCAATTTCAAAATCAAAATGAAGACGAGCAAAGAGAAAATGTAGAAATGGAAGGAAGTAGGCAAACTTGTGATACAGTCCCAGTAAAAACGGAAGCGGCAAAATTCAATCACCATAAAATTAAACGTCAACATACTGTAGCTCAAGAAACGCCTGTCACTTCGACAATACTAGACGGAATTGGAGCAGGTATTGATTGTTACGTCATTGGTTTGTGTGAGAAAATTACGTCGTTTTCTCAAAAATTGATGACGTTACTCTCACAAACCAATGACGTAACAATCAATACCTGCTCACAAGAGAAGATCACTCTGCAATATGCAAAGACGATATACAATCAACAAACAGGAACAAGTTAGAAGCTTTCCATATCAACAAAAGTCTCCCCTCTATATCTGTCTACCAGACAGATCAGAGGCGCTTTCCGGAATGTATGCTGTAACACTGTACAAAATAAAACAGTTGTGAGGGAAAATCCCAAATATGTACAACTAACTACAGAACCACATATGTTTCTACTTAATTCTAACATCTCGGTAGGTGTACTCTTCTCCTAGCACCGTTAGTACAAATAACGCGTTCTTAATTGTTTTTATTTTACGCTTCTGTAAATCAACCATGGAAACAGTCGTTATAAGACGCACACAGCTTTTTGAAAACAATTCAAAATTTCTATGCGTATTTTCGAATTTATGTGTGGAGGGTTGGTGTAGGTATAATACAGACGATTAAAGGTTGGCTATCGCGTTTAATTTTCTTTTTCGTAAACATAAGATTTTATTTTTAACTGAAAATTAAGTAAAATGAATTTTATGCAATCACATTATTTCCCTAGCGTCTAGCAGGTACTGTTACAACCCAACACAAACATGTTCTGGGTGTTAACCACGTGGTATAACAAGAACATTGCTAGTTTTCCACGTGACCGAGGGATTGTGAAACCTTATTGGTCATAAGAAAATACCGTTATTCAATAAACATAGATATATACTGATAGGAATGTACCGTGAATGCCATGCCTCTGTACAATACCGTAATACAACGACAAAGCTTTGTCAGCCTTCCGCATCGGAGCTAAAACAATTTTGGTTTTCGAATATTATCTCAAATGATAAGTTTTTATCTAGTTCTACTCTTAACAGATTCTTATTTGCAAAATCATATGTACAAAACCTTTTTTTACATATTCATGAAGAATTAGGATATGCATGAAATTATTCTCATTTTAGTGAATTAAGCTGCCCTTGCTTTGAACACACATACAGAGGGGAGGTAACTGACGGACCGAATGTGTATTCGTAACACCTTTGGTCTCGTTGCACTGTGTGTGACCTCTGACCTGCAGATATCTATCGATCTGGTTCAGTGGTCAATCACGATACATTCCTAATAAAACGTAAAACAGATGACCGTTTGTCCACTCCGTGTCCGGAGGCTAGCCTATATCTACATATAGGGTATATATCGCTGATCCCATCACTTGACCGTTACGCTATGCTCAGTTCGGACACACGCTTGTTAATTCTATATCATCAGACACAAATTCCTACATTTCAGCCAAAATGGTCAAATATCTAGCGTTCACCTTGACGACAGTAGCCGGGAGCTGAACTGCCCACATGTAAATGTAAAATTAAGATTTCACAACGGATATTGTCCGTTTACCGGTGACAATGATACTGACCGCAGGACGTATTAGGCGATATTAATGTTTGACCAGCACCGGTAGGAATGGTTTAACCTGGCCACCGTGTGTGGAGTTCCAATAAAGCCAGGGGCTGTCGACGTTAACCCGGGTTAGAAGCCAGCAGAGGATGAACTGGGATAAGATGCAATCGGCGTTGGCGAAAATGTTGCAAAAATTTGCTAATGCGACCTCTTGAACATTCGCCTGAACCAGTGGACGGATTTACTTGACCAGTGGTCAAAAATAACTATTGTTCGCCAGACGTGGAGTTTAATTCGGAGACGTGTCAGGTAAGTTTATAGTTTTAATTTGGTTTATGATATAATTCATTATAAAGGGGAACTTGATTAAGATGATGATGGTTTGATTTTACATTTTTTTTTATTACAGCGAGGTATAGTGGTGGTACACATATATTAACATAAAGCAGCAGTTAAGAAACGATAATTAAAGCTGAGATCAGTCATTATTAATACATATCATTAGACAAGTCACTATTTATAAACTCATAGATGTAGGCCCCAACCTGAAACTAGTTACAATCTTCTCACAATAGACTTTTACCTTTGGTACTCGGCCTTGAAATAAAATAGAAACATAAATTTATTTTCGAAAAGTGGTCTTTTGATGTATAAAATAGTAGTCAACATATATAACGAAACGCAAATGTGTCTTCAAATGTATATAAATGGGAATGTTTTTGCAGAGAGTTAACGTTTTAAGCTTCCGACCTGTATAATGATACTCTACTGTAGGATTATCATTTAGTGTCTTTATAAGATTTATCTGTTATATTTAATTTAAACATATGTTATTGCTTCTAAATTCAAACAAGAGGATTGGGCACAAGTTATTACAACTTATAAAAGCCCTCTCCTCAACAATTGTACTACAACAATGTGATAGCGACAATAGACATATATATACATTTCTTATACCATAAAACGAATTTGGAAATCAGAAAAAAGCAAAGAAGGTTAAACAAGTTGAAAGTGCAGGGAAATCAGAAGAATATAATGTATCATTTCTTATCATATACAACAATATGATGTATAGTAATGTATGATATGTCTGTCTGGAACATACTAGCTACACACTCTGGCTACTTCCTCTGTTCAAATTGTCCATGTAAATGCTCATTCCTGATAACATTGTTCTGTTGTACATTCAAGCCTGTTATAGGTATCGTTTCATTGTGCAAGGCAGATAAGAAATAGACATTTATTTGTTTATAATTCATTTTACAAAAATCACTTGTGTTATATGTGAGAATATGAAAATGTCAGTAGATACGTGAGACAATTTATTATTAACAACTCGCTTATATTCGCGGCATTAGAGCGCGTATAGCTGCGTCTCTTTACATATTTTTAGAAAACCAGCAAATTTCGTCTGTATTAATGGCTGAAGATGTTGAAGTACTTTTTGTGTTTATTTATCGTGCTATACGAAGGCAAATCGGGTTAAAAATTGTTAAGAGACATTTTTTCTTAGAAATGAAATATTTATATGATATTGCCGTGTATGTAGACATGGTGGAAAAGTAAGGCTGCTGTTATTGAGATTGTTTAGAAAGTGTTGGCGAGTGCACTTGGTCAATAAAATTGTTCAGAAGTCCGGACAGACATACTGTTGTTGATGAGACTGTTCAGACGTCCGGACAGTCATACTTTTATTGATGAAACTAAAAAATCAACATATTGATTTCTTTATTAAATATGCGCATAAAGTTTATAAGATTGTGTTCTGTCTTTGAAAGTATTCACTATTATATCTATATTAAATGATATTATATTAAAATGGGTTGTATTTCCATTCATCCTCGATATCCAGGGATTAGGGCAAAAGTGAGCATAACCCCTGGATATCGAGGAGGATTTCCATTAAGTGTCAGAAATTCTCATTGTTTTTCTAAAATCGAACACACTTGTTTAAGATATGTCGAAATTGGTAATACAGCAGGTTCTACGAGGGTTTGGCATGTTTAACTTATAAAGAATCCGGGTATCTGAATATTTCTAACTTTAATCTGCTCCCTGAAGCAGCTTTGCCATGTCCTAATTTTAGAGATGCAGTTCGGTCCTATCCTTTATTGAGAAACACGGCTTTGTCCTACCCTGTCTTAGAGAATCATATCAATATACGCATGAAGTCTGACTTTCCCCGATCACTTTATTAAATGCAAAATGTATGAATATCAATACTTTTAGTCATTATTTTGTTTTATCATACTAATACTGTGGGTTTTTTTGTAATGTCATTTGTTCCCATAGCAACATGTTGAAGGTTATTGACAAAGATCCATTACCGACAATGAGATCTGGAAATTTCTTTAATTTTTGATTTGTTTTATGCATACAAAATCGTCTGGTGTTTATCTGAAAATATCAAACCACACTCACTTCTCCTCGACAAAAGGCTCAAATACACGGTGTCTTAATTCTCAAGTTCCTGTGGGAACTATCGTTATATGCGACAGACATTCAAATCATAGTTGATGCCATGTGAAGTAAAAAGGATACTGGAATTAGGTTGAGGAATGTATCATAATTTGTCGTGTGTAAGCTTACAGCCAATTTGAGGCAGATAAATTAAACATACATACACGAATACATGCATAGACATCCTTCAAACTTGTAACCATGGGCTATTATATCTTGTGATTTGTGTCATGCCCGGAAAGAAATAATAATAATAAAAAAGAATTACGTTACAAAACAAAAATAACTAAACAATACAATAAATTATAAATAATAAATATATGTATCACGGAATAAAAATAATCAAATAAATGAATAAGAAAAAATAAATTAGATTAATGCATAAACAAATAGATAAAGGAAATGAAAATAAATTGAATAAAATTGAATGATTAATTAATGGTTAGATGGTTTATATCATCATATTTATATATCTCCTACAGGGTACACATATCTGTTTCAGGTATACTCTGTACTTACACAGTATCTGGATTGTACACTCAGTGGAAGGTGTATTACCATAAATCCGTGATGCTAGTGTTTTATGGTAATTTTAGACATTTATCGACCACTTCCGGACGGCTGGTAGTAAAATCACACTGAATATGTATCCTATCCCGTGACTGATCGGAAGATTTATGTTCAGAGTTATCTACCTTGGATGACAAATTCAGGTCACTCCAGCATTCTCCCTTAATTACCCAATATCTTGGGGAAATGGTTATTCTAATAGTAGTAAAATCATCACTGAAATGTATCTCCGTTTACAGTATTTGTACTGATGTTTCAGACAACGACGGAGTTTTCGTTTCGTTTTACGGTGATTTTACATTTCCCGCATTGATCATAATTCGTAAGATATACACCGTATATCATATTGTCTCTCTAACTTCAATATAAAATAAAAATAAAAATAGTAAATATCATATTAGCTATAAACTAAAAAGGTATGTATCTAAGTAAAACTACACGCATTGCTGAATAATTTATGCATCATTATTTAACAAATAACGATATTTTTTAACTAAACATATTAAATACACCGACATATTCTTAATGAGTTATAACAGTTGATTTGAAAAGATGATGTAGATTCAAAACACTTCATCTCATTATACCATTATAAAACCTAACTCTATTCAATGATGAAAAATGTATGGTGTGGAATTTATACTAGATTGATTACTTATAAAACAGCGAGTTTATAGAAACAAAAATCCGAACAAAATATGCATTTGGAGAGCAACACGTTCCTGGACTGCCAGAGGCAAATATTTGAATAAGATAAAGTTAAGATACTTGATGTATTATTCAATATATGTAATGTAAGACTTAATGCTACAATATTGTATATATGTATAATGATTACTGTAAAAGAATGTATATGATAGTGTAATAATCCTTTCTATGAATTTCCGACAAGTTGTAAACAACCAATCGGAAGCTATGACAAATAGACATTTACAAAGACTTATTTGATCAATATTGATTATATCATTGTATAGCTGTTGTACATGGCCAGATCTGATAGCTACGATACAAGGTCGAATTCGTCAAGGTTATAATGATGTAGTATGGTTGCATTAACGTAAGTATGTACTAAAAACAAATCAACACGCGGTTTTTTTCTGTCACCGGAAATAGAACTCTTTTATTGCGCGAACGGACACATCCAGGGCTCGTCGGCGTATTCTTCCACAAATAGACTAGCGCTACTTGTGACGTCAAATAAGGACGTATTATAACTTTGCTTATTTGTGACGTCAAAAGGATATAGTTTGATACCATTGCTTCCTGTAAGATGGCTATTCAATTATTGAACACTCATGCACGATATAAATATTAAATTTGAGCTAAATGCAAATTTGATGACGGAACTTCATTTTCTTTAAGATAAAAATCAACTGATTTTTTTTATTTATCCTGTTATTATAAATATCAGTGGCAGCTGAAAAAAAGAAAAGGGTTGAAGGGTCAAAGTAAAAAAGAAATGATAGCGTGGTCCTTGTAACAAAACACAGTCGTACATCTCCATGGGTAAATGACAGCTAACACCCGTAACATGCTTCAAATTGTCCACGCCAAGAACTCCCTAACCGTCAATATGAACAAGGTATCTTGTCCACTCAGAGAACTCCCTAACCGTCAATATGGAACAAGGTATCTTGTCCACTCAGAGAACTCCCTAACCGTCAATATGGAACAAGGTATCTTGTCCACTCAGAGAACTCCCTAACCGTCAATATGGAACAAGGTATCTTGTCCACTCAGAGAACTCCCTAACCGTCAATATGGAACAAGGTATCTTGTCCACTCAGAGAACTCCCTAACCGTCAATATGGAACAAGGTATCTTGTCCACTCAGAGAACTCCCTAACCGTCAATATGGAACAAGGTATCTTGTCCACTCAGAGAACTCCCTAACCGTCAATATGGAACAAGGTATCTTGTCCACTCAGAGAACTCCCTAACCGTCAATATGGAACAAGGTATCTTGTCCACTGCGAGAACTACCTAACCGTCAGTATGAACAAAGTGTTTTGTCGGAATTGAATATAGCACTCATGTAGAATTGTTTGTATTTTTCAGAGTGGCAAACTGAACCCCACTAGGTTTTGTGGTCTTAACAAAACAGCATGGATTTCTTATTGAAAAAAAAGAGAGGAAGTTTCTTAAATAACAAAGGGAAAAAAGAATAATACATTAATAAATAAAGTTATGTGAACCGGAGTTAAACGATCTGTACTTATGTTCAAATAGAAGGCATATCCTCGTCATAATAAAATGAAACATACAGCCTTGGTATGTTA